ATTTTTTATTGTTGATGTTTTAATATATATTAGTATTGTATCTGTCTAAACTTTTTTACCTTTGTTTTTTATAAATAACTTTTTGTAAAAATTGAGAAAATATACAGAAACAATGAAAAAAATCAAGATCACTTCTATTTTCCTTTCTACCAAAGAAAATTGTTAAACTGCAAGGTGTTATACTGTCTCCTATTCAGACAGAGTACTTACAGGGGAAAATAAAAATTGAAATCTTTACAATATTAGGTCTTCCATGCATTAAACCTAGTTTAACACTGTTTAATAAGCAGGCATTCTCCTGTGTCTTTTGTTAAGTCTTTACACTTTTAGATAAAGAACTTACAAATTCCTTGCCTGGTTCAATCATAGACATGTTATACATTTTGTTGATTTCATGACTGGAAATGTTTTGTTGCATTATCTAATTAATCATTACTGATATATAAGAAGGCTATTGATTTTTGTATGAAAATTGCAACCTTGTCACCTCATTTCTGTTGTTTGGTTATTTTGATTTTTTGTGGGATAATAGTTTCCAGGAATACATTCAGAGAAGGTTTCTTAAGTGCCTAATTTATTTCATTGATGCTTAAATGAGAGTTTGGCACAGTCTGGAAATGGGTATGAATTGTTTTTTCCTCTCTGAAATTGATGATTTACTCCATTGTCTTCCTACATGAGTATAATCTGTGAAAGTATAATGTTAATGTATTTCTTATTCTTATGTATGTAAACTGTTTTTTAAATCTTTCTTGAAACTTTCAGTGTTTTTTAAGACTTATTTTTTATATTTTAGGTATTACTATTTTACTTAATTTTTTCAAAGCCATCACTTTTAGAACCAGTTGTTTTATTTACCATTTTAAAGAAAAGAAAACATTGAATTAAAGTACTCTGTGTCACTTATACTAAGATGCATTCCAGTTTCACAGATGGTAAAATCAAAAATGTGTATCAGAATTAATGATAATGGGTATTTTATTAACTTGTTAAGGCTCTCTCAAATTGAGTACTCACATCCTTCTTGGTTTTGAGGTTACTTTCATTGATTACTAGTTCAAACATTATCTCTCCTCAATTATCTCTGTTATCTTCTGGGGCTTCTATTAAATGGATGGTGGAATTTCTACTTCAATCTTTTGTCAGGTTTTATTCTAATATTTTGCATCACTTTATTACACTTGGTTCCTCTGACCTGTATAGCAACGAAATCTTCTGGCTTCCTAATTCACAATTCAGCTGTATGCATTCTGTTTTTCAGCCCATCTAAGTTTTTTTCTTTTAATTTTTTCCTTGGAAATACTTATAAATACACAGGAATCTACAGAAATGGTACATTTCACCAAATTTCCACCAGTAGTCACGTCTTACATAGAGTACAATATCAAAACAAAGAATTTGACATTAATATAATGTATATATGTAGTTACATGTCATCTTATCATGAGTATAAATATAGATTCATGTAATCACTACTGCACTAAAGATACAAAACTGTTCCACCAATACAAAGATCTCTCTCAGGCTGCCCCTTTATAATCACACCTGCACCTCACCTACCATCACTAATCCCTGGAAACCATCTACATCTATAATTTTTCAATGAAGTTAAATAAATAGAATCATATAGTATGTGACCTTTTGAGATTGGCTTTCAGAACTCAGAATGTTTTTGAGATCTAAGTTGTAACATCTATCCATAGTTTGTTCCTTTTTAATGCTGATAGCTCAGAGCCCGGAGCCTGCTGTGGATTCTGTGTCTGTGTCTCTCTCAGACCTATTCCAGCTCATGCTCTGTCTCACTGTCTCTCAAAAACAAACATTTAAAAAAAATTTTTTTAAAGAATGCAACCTTGCTGCTTGCAACCACGTGGCTAGAACTAGAGTGTGCTATGCTAAGCAAAACAAGTTAGAGAAAGACAAATATGATTTCATAGACAAATATGAATTGCATAGGACCTAGAATACCCAATATAATGAAAAAGAATAAAGTTTAAAACTTATACCATGATAATTCAATATTTACTCTAAAAACAATTTGGTATTAGTGCAAGAATAGCTAAATATACCAATGAGACAATACAGTATAGAAATAGGCTCACAGATATAAGGTCACTTGACTTATTACAAAGGCACTATTGCAATTCAATAAATAGTGATGGAGCAACTGGTTATACATATGGGGGGAAAATCTCTTGATCTTCACCTCAAAAGAAAGAAACAAAAGAATTAATTTGAGGTGAATCATAGCCATAAATGTGAAAGGTGAAACAATAAGATTTCTGGAAGAAAAATAGAATATCTTCATATCCTTATGGTAGGAAAAGGCTTTTAAACAGAATGAGACATCAGCTATAAATAAAATATTAGTGAGCTGAACTTCATTTAAATTAAAATCTTCCAAAGCCTTCATTATTAGAGTGAAAAGGCAAGCCATAGCCTGGAAAAGAGTTCTATAATGCAAATGTCCTACAAAGACCTCATATCTTAGTATACACAAATACCTATGAATAAATAGAAAAAGCACAAACTGATTTTAATAAAATGGTCCAAAGTTAAACAGACAATTCATCATAGAAGTTATCCAAGTGACTGGCATATGAAAGGATGCTAAAGTGAGTATTCATCAGGGAAATGCAAATTAAAATCATACTGAGATGCCAATAACCACCTTCTAGTATTGTAAAAATTTAAAAGACTGACACTACCAGGTGCCTAAAAGGATATGGAGTAACTGAAACCCTTCACATTGCTGATAGAAGTGTTAATTGACACACCTTGGGAAAATGATTTGGCAGTATCTCCACAGATACATACAAATCTACTTTGCAATCCAGCTATTCTACTCATGGATTCCTAATAGAAATGAATGCGATGTCTCCCAAAATATGTAAGATTGATCACAGATTTATTGATAAGAAAAAACAGGAGGGGCATCTGGGTCAGTTAAGTGCCCGACTTCAGCTCAGGTCATGATCTCACAGTTTGTGGGTTTGAACCCTATATCAGGTCTGCGGGGTATTCTCTTTCCATCTCTCTCTGCCCCTCTCCAACTCACACTTTCTCTCTCTCTCTCTGAAAAATAAGTAAATAAACTTTAAAAAAATGAAAGAAAAGAAAAAACTGGAAACCCACACAAATGTGTATCAATATAGAATGAATATATTGCAGCAAGATTTAGACTGCTGCAGCTCACCGGCAAACTATGGCCTGTCACCTGTTTTGGTATGGCCAGTGACCTAAGAAAGTTTTCACATTTTTCACATTTTTAAATGTGAAAATGGCCAGTGACCTAAGAAAGTTTTCACATTTTTCACATTTTTAAACAGTTTTCACATTTTTAAACATTGCAATATGTGAAAATTACATGAAATCCAAATTTCAGTGTCCATAAATAAAGTTTTCTTGGAATACAGCCACACTCATTTGTTTACATATTGTCTATGGCTGCTTTCATGCTAGAATAGCAGAGTTGAGTAGGTGTGACAGACATCTGGCACACAAAACCGAAAACATTTACTCGCTGGCTAAAGGACTCATCTCCTAGTCTTAATGTTGACAAAAACATGTTGGGCACATATTATTACATTGAGTGCATTCAAATGAAGTTCAGGAATACACAAAAGTAATCTATGGTGCGAAAAGTCCAAATAATGGTCTTTTCTAAGTGGAGTCACAGTTGACCAGGATGGGGCACGAGGGAAAATTCTGGCATTTTGGAAATCAATGTTCTTTATCTTGATCTGTGTGTGGTGATTGCCTGTGTATGAAAAAATCATGGAGGTGTATATATAATATTTGTGGACTTTATGTAAATTATTCTTCAAAAAAAAAAAGACTAAGGCTGAAATTGTACTTTTTCCCATCTCTCTTCATTTCAAAATAAAACTCACTTTTCAAATTATTTGCGAGATGAAATTCTTGTTTCTCCAATTTAGGTAGCCACAGATAACTGTTTAAATTTAAATTTATTAAAATTAAACAAAATTAAAAATCCATTTCTCGGTCAAACTAACCACACTTAAGGAGCTTGAATAGTCATATGTGGCTAGTGGCTACCATACTGGACAGTGCCGATACAGAACATAGAATCGAGTTTTACAGAAAGTTCTATTGGACAGCTGTACTCCAAAACCTTACCTAAAGTTCATTTTAAAGATGAAGAAACTGAAGCTTTGAGATACATAGTGCTGCATACACTTTTCCCACATTCACTGCTACAGATGACCTTTCAATTCATTTAACATTTCTATAATTATATAGGAAACTATTCTAAATTCATAACACTGCAAACAAAGGAAAAGCATTTTCTCGTAAGTTATAAAGTACTTAAACTGTCTGATTAATCCTAGACATTACCCTTATAGTCACACGGTCCCAAAACACTCTCACATAATCCCGAATGGATCACATGGTTATCCACTAACATCCCTGTTACAGTCTTTAAACACAATCTGACAGTGCACTCTCCACAGTCCTCTCTTTCCCTACATTGGACACTTGTATACAAACACACGTCTGTGATGTGTCAAGCCCCCTATGTCTCTTGAGCAGAAACTCGGTTGTCACAGCTACTGCATCTGAGCCATAGCTCTAGTCTGAGAAATCTGGATTCTACCTCCTGGCCTTCTGCAGCTTTTTCAGTCCTGGACTACATTTATCTGAAGGCATTACTACAAGATGCCATGGATATACAAGATGGGCATTACTACCCTTCTCTGGTAACCTCCTTGAGATTTTCTGGGGGAGTCACTTGATTGAAACGAAACAGGTTCGGCTCACTCGTAGTAGCGTGAGATCTCCTATTCCAGCAACGGAGAATCAAGGCTCGGGCCGATTCCGGGCCGCAGAATGTGGCCACTGCCTCTGCATTCTTTTGGATCGAGCGGGGGTCACATTTTTTACTACATTTCCCGGAGGCCACCGCGTGCCTGCGCCATTTCGTACACTTATTCCGTTACGTCTTGATGCAAGGATCCAGTCTGCAGCGGCCAGGTGAGTGGACCGTCTCACTGGGACCCGCACGCTGCATTTGATTTGGAGCATCCGGAAAGAAGTTCCTATATGGTGCTGGGAATACCGGTATGCCGGCTGGGGCTCGGTGCTGTGAAGCGTCGGGACGATCGCGTCTCTGGACTCCGTTTCTCCTAGGTCATAGAGCTTCAGGCTGATTCTTAATGGAAGTCGGCCTTGCCTGCGGAGTGGCTGTGACCTTCTCCCGCCGGCAATACCTGCACCGTCGCCTCGGTTCCGACTGGCAGGGGCGTGGCGCTATTAGCTTTTTCCCTCCGCCGCCGAGTGACGTGGGAGTGCGCTCGACGCACCTCTCCGCTGGCAAACTCTGCTCCTAGACTTTGGTTCCGGTAGGACAGGATAGGGAATATATTACCCTTAACGTTCCACGGTGCTGGATGCGTGCGTCCCCTTCTGTGGCAGCGCTATGGGCTCACCTGCCGTCTTCTAATGCTTTTAGCGGCTGGGGATACTTCGCACCTGTGTACTTTACCCCCGTTTGACACGGACAGAGTCCATTGAGAATCCCGGGCTTCCAGCTGCTGCAGTTCCTTTACTTACTGTGCAGAGAACGTGGCTATTTTGAAGCTGTATAATGAGAATTTACACGTGCAGCGCCACAGGATGGGAGGAGACCACCATAATAAAATATCCCATTCAACTCTGAGAGCCCTGTGGCGAAAATCAATCCCTTTCTCTGGCCTAACGTTGTGGGAGATGATCCTAAATATTTTGTTGGCTCTGAAAAAGCCTTGAGAGCCTATGATTGTTGACTCCGTTCTACTTTTTCTAACAGCCACACAGAAAAGGAAAAGAATGTTGCACATTTAAAAGGCTTGCCTAAAATAAGTTGCCATTTTCTTTCTTTCCTCAAGTTTCTTACTTTTCAAGGTGTTGCAGTATGTCCTGCAACATCTTGTTAACGAAGAGCCAGCCGTTCAGTGACTTATATTTAGGCATAGCTATCCCCATAAATGATGGCGCTCCAGGGATGAGCTCACTAGGCTAACTCCACTCCCTCAACCACACTTCACCTGTTCTCCACACCCAATGGCAAATCAGCTATTTCTAAGGTTTTTGATGAGAGAGAACTATACCCTCCGGAGGAAATTTGAAGGTTTTTATTTTAACTTTATTATGGAAATTTTCAAGCAGGATAGAAAAGAATACAAACCCAAATGTGCTCATATCCACCTATAATTTAAAACATTTGCAAATATCCTTAATATCTATCCTTCCTCTTTTTTCTGTAGCATTTCAAAAATTATATAATTTTATCCATATGCATGCATATATAACCAAAAAGAACATATTTTTAGATAACCACCATGATGTTATCCCAACTTTAAAACTAACCATAATTCCATTATATCATATATGCAGTACATACATATTCATTTCCCTGATTCTTTCAAAGATAGGTTTTTACAATTGGTTTGTTCAATTATGATCCAGATAAGGTCTACACAGTGCATTTTGTTGCCAAACGTCTTAAATTTCTTTAATCTGCCAATTTCCGTTCTATTTTTTCCTTTTTTAAAATTTTAATTGGTATCACTGATTTGTTAAAAACTAGATTGTTTATAGAATATTCTACATTCTGCTTTTGATTAATTGCTTCCTTGGGCTGTCTTATAATTTGTTCTCCTATGCCCCATATTTCTGTAAATGAGTAGTTAGATCTAGAAACTTGACCAAATCCAGATCATATTTTGCATGAATCACATTTTCAGACAAAAATAATTCATAGTTGGTGCTTTGTACTTCCTATTATATCACATCCTGAGGCTTTTAAAATCTGGTGTCCCACTGCTGAGATGCCATTTTGATCAGTGTTCAAGTGGTGTCCACTTAACCTTTTTATAAAGCTCCCCTTTCTTTTGCACCTATTAATAGGGGAAGATATTATCTACCCCCCACCCCCTGTCCCCAGGGGATAAAACTTGGATTCTTAGCAAGAAAAACTCTTAAGATATTGCAATGGTGGCCCTTGGAGCTACACAGTACATAAACATATACGGTATGTCCATGTCTTTAAAATTTTATAGTTGGTGAGGCACTTGGGTGGTTCAGTTGGTTAAGTGTCCCACTTTGGCTCAGGTCATGATCTCATGGTTCATGGGTTCGAGCCCCACATTGGGCTTTGTGCTGACAGCTCAGAGCCTGGAGCCTGCTTCAGATTCTGTATCTCCCTCTCTCTCTGACCCTCCCCTGCTCACGCTCTCTCAGAAATAAATAAAAAATGTTAATTTTTAAAAAATTTTTAATGTTTTATTTATTTCTGAGAGAGAGCGAGAGAGATAGCATGAACAGGGGAGGGTCAGAGAGAGGGAGACACAGAATCTGAAACAGGCTCCAGGCTCTGAGCTGGTGGTCAGCACAGAGCCCCACGTAAGGCTTGAACACCACAAACCGTGAGATCATGACCTGCGCCGAAGTCGGACGCTTAACCGACTGAGCCACCCAAGCGCCCCAAAAATGTTAATTTTTTTAATAAAAAAGTACAATTTTATAGTTGAATAGTGATGGTTAGGCAAAAAAGGTGTCTAAAAAAGGCTCTTTCAGAGCTAATAAATGGGAAAAAAAAGGTTAAGAAACACCTAAAGTTTATAACATCCATTTATGATTGATGGTGAGATCTGTTATTTCATTAAAGATTACATATAGTGATTTAAATTTTTTTTAAATTGTTTTCTTATTTATTTTAGAGAGAGAGAGAAAAACAGAGTGAGAACAGGGGAGGGGCAGAGAGAGAGAGAGACAGAAACAGATTCCTAAGCAGGCTCATGGGACTCAAACTCATGAACTGTGAGATCATGACCTGCGCTGAAATCAAGAGTCAGACACTTAACTAACTGAGACACCCAGGTGCCCCTATTTATATTTCAATTTATATGTCAAATATCCTCTCCATGGTCAGAGAATTAATCTCTTTATAATATTTCTTTTTAGCCCATATATTCTCAATAAGGTGATACTGCCTCCTAGAGGATGAAAATGGGTGTTGGGCAAGGATATGGGGTGGGGGTGGGGGTGAGGGTGGGAATCTTAGATACTGCAGTGGCTTGTGGCTCTCCAAATTTCAATTTACCCAACAAAATCTTATTCTTCATTATTTACTCTCTAATTGGCATTTCTTCGGTATCACATGAACAACACCAGCACTGAGATCATGGGAGGTATGATATGTAAGATAAGTGCTACCAAAAAAGATCACTGCTCCAAAACTGTGGCAAATAGGTGGCTGTGAATGGAGAACTTTCTCTCAATTGATTGCTTAATCTTGAAGTTATATCACAAGAGGTGGCCTTGTGTTTGCCCATTAGCTGCCCTGTGGATGCTGTTTATATTTGATCATGCTTTTGTATTTGACTTGGGATTTGAGGATTAAATAAAAGTAATCTCTTATTATTCTACAAAAGTTATTCAAGATGTCTCATAAAAGAAATTTGGACTTAGCTAAGGAATGACTTTATTCAAAGGATCACTGCAGTGAGGGAAGGAAGACTTGTAATTGGGAGAACACTCCAACCATAAGATCTTCAGGCATCTAAAGGGTCAGGCGGAAAAGAATTTTGTTTCATAAGGAGGATAAACAAAGCCAGAAAAGAATGGATGTGAGTAGCAGGGTAGGCCGAGTGGGTAGTCAGTTGTGTAGATTTTGTTCTCTGAAGCTTGAATCATGGTTTGCATCTTTTGCAAGAGGATTGTTTGCATCCTTTGCTGGTACAGAATATGGGATAGGCCAGAGTTCAAGGGCCTGAGAGAAGGACAGAAGCCTGACTAAAGTTTGGTCAAGTGAAGTTATCAGGCATTTTATCCAGAATAGTGAGTGGGGTCAAATCGCTCAGCTAATCATTTATGGGACAAAGAATGGCCATTTGGAGTCTCTGCCTAGCCTTCTCATGGGGTCATCCTCTAGTCTTATCTAAGCTATACAGGGAAGGGAGGTTCACTTCATTCAGCTGTTTCCCAGTCTATGAAGGATGAGGGATATCTCTCATTGTAACTATTTTTCAGGATCATAGATCTTGGGTAAAGTTCAACACTGTGAAACCTGTCAATTATGTCAAGCGCTGAGAAGTTAAAATGTTGACAACGTGAATGAAGATCAAGCAACTAGTTAAAAATTTCTTCTATCTAGTAAAAGTTAAGCTCACTAAAAATCATTTTTAATAAATTAATGTTTTCAATTGTTTTACTTTTTGCTGGAAAAGAATGGTTTTGAATGATATGTTAAAATTTTAATCATATTGTTTATATTATATACTTATTTTTAATTTTTTAAATGTTTTTTATTTTTGGAGACAGAGAGAGAGAGAGAGAGCACAAGCAGGTGAAGGGCAGAAAGAGGAAGAGACACAGAATCTGAAGTAATCTCCAGGCTCAGAGCTGTCAGCACAGACCTGATGGGGGGCTCTAACTCACAAACTGAGATTGTGACCTAAGCCTAAGTCTGATGCTTAACCAACTGAGCCACGCAGGCGCCTCTATATTATATAAACTTATATATAAGTCATATAAACTTATATATAACTTATATAAACTTATATATACTTTTATAAATACATATACTACGGTATATCTGACCTATTAAAATTTCATGGTGGAGGGGGATAATTAGGGAAAAAATATCTAAAATGGCTCTTCAGAGGGGCAATGATGAAAAACAATGTTGGGAAATGGTGTTCTAGCCATTTGCACAAACCTGTTTTTATGTCTTTCAGGAAGTATTTCAAGGTTTTCTTCCTCAGGTTTTATGCATCTCTTGTCAAGCTTAGGCCTAGATACTGCATCCTTTTTTGTGGATTTTCTTTATTATATTTTCTATATGGTTATTGTTTTATATATAAAGGTCATTCCTTTTCATGCTAATTTTATATACTACTGCTAATTTACAAAGTTCTTTTATTATATGTTGTAACTTTTTTTTTCCTTTCATTTCATCTCCTGGCATTTTTAGGCACGCTCTCATATTTCACAGAGGGAATTTTGCCTATTCTTTTTCTATTTTTATTGCTCTTATTGATTTCTCTTGCCTTTTTATATTGGCTAATAAAGCTAATACAGTGATAAATGATGGTGAGAGTAGTAGGTATTCTTGCCTTGTTTCTATTGTTAACCTGAAAATAGAGTGCTGCCGTGAGAGGCAAAGAGCACTTATTAGGATCAAAGAATTTCAGTTCATGGAACACAGATTCAGGTAGAAACCAAATAGTGTACCACTTAGAGTGAAAGCAAGAATTTTTTCGTCATGAGTTAAGAAGAGGGAAAAAAAGGCTAAACTAGTCTTGGTTGTACACTGGCTACTGATTATAACTTCAGAAAGTCCATAACCATCAGTCTTATGATCAGGATCTGTTCTCCTGACTTTGCAAGCAGTTGACTAAAACAATCACCATTTTTCCCAGTCCATAGGTTTTGGCCCAGTTCAAACAGAGAGGCCTAAGGCAGTTTCTCTGGAGTGGTCCTTCTGACTTCATTTTAAAATGGCTCCATTCAGGTCGATTTTTCCCACTAACATTAAATTAGTCATCATTTCCTATATCTTGTTGTGTTCCTACCAGGAATGGTAAGAATGGATGGTGAATTTTGTGAAATTTGGGTGGGGGGTAGCATTTATGAAGATAATATGATTTTCTTCCATAAAACCATTAATATCATGAATTATTAGTGGACATTCTAATATCAAACTATGTTTTTATTACTGAGAAATTCCCACTTAATTATGATTTTTAAATGCTTATTTATTTTTGAGAGAGAGAGACAGAGAGAGCGCACAATGGCAGAGAGGGGCAGAGAGAGAGAGGGAGACAGAGAAACCAAAGCAGGCTCCAGGCTCTGAGCTGTCAGCAGAGAGCTCAATGTGGGCCTTGAACTCACGAGCTATAAGATCATGACCTGAGCCAAAGTTGGACGTCTAACCAACTGAGCCTCCCAGGCACCCCAATTTTTTTTTGAACATGCCATTGGGTTTTTGTTTGCTGGTATGTCAAATTTTGTGGTAATATTTGTGATATAATAATATATTTGTTTTTTTCCCTGGTTCTCGACACAGAGCTCCTAACACCCTGGGAGTTTTCTGAGTGATAGGAGTGTCTTTTGTTTTTCATAATAAGCACCTTTGATCACACCTTACTATATGCTAATGAGGTAGCTAGGAGTGGGGCCCCTAGATAGTCTCAGAATGGGGTTGGGGTCACCAGAAAGACCAATGATTAGACGACTGGCACTTTCCAACCCATCTGCTGACTTCCAGGAAAGAGGTGGGTGACATTGGTGGTTAAGGGCCATAAAAACTCTTGCACTAGGATATTTGATGAGCTTCTGGGTTGGTGAACACACCAACCAGTGTGAACACACTGAAGTGTTATGAGGGTGGCACTCCCAGAGAGGGCATGGGGAGCTCCATGCATTCCCCCTCCTAATACCTTGTCCTATGCATCTTCTCCATTTGGCTGTTTCAGACTTGTATCCTTTATAATAAATTCATAAATGTAAGTAAAGTACCTTCCTAAGTTCTGTGAGCCATCCTAGCAAAGTATCAAACCTAAGATGGGATTGTGGGAGCCCCCAGTTTATAGCTGATTGGTCAGAAGTACTGGTGACCAGGGATTTCAGACTGGCTTCTGGAGTCAGGAGCAGTCTTACAGGACTGAGCGCTTAAGCTGTGGGAGCAAAGCATCTCACTTAGTGTTTGTGGTGGTGGGGGGAGGGCAGGTACCTGAAGAAGCTGCTCCCCCCAGGGCTCCCTGTTGTAAAGATGTGAGATGTCCAGGAAAACTAGCACCCTCTGAGGTCCTGTTCAGCATCAGGGCAATTCAGGAGAAATCTAGCCTGAATTCTTTCTGATGTAGCTGTATTTTGTTGGATTTGCAGGAAGGCTAAGATTTTTCCAAACTCCCTCAAAGAAGTGAAATAGGGATGTCTGGGTGGCTCAGTCAGTTAAGCATCCAACTTTACCTCAGATTGTGATCTTGCAGCTTGTGAGTTTGAGCCCCGCGCCAGGTTCAGTGCTGACAGCTCAGAGCCTGAAGCCTGCTTCAGATTCTGTGTCTCCTTCTCTCTCTCTGCCCCTCCCCTTCTCACACTCTGTCTCTCTCTCTTAAAAATAAATAAACATTAAAAAATTTTATTTGCACGTATAGGAGGATTAGGAGGAACTTGACGGAGGAACAAGGGGGAGAAGAAGGGCGGAAATGGTGGGGGAAAGGGAGGGAGGCAAACCATGAGAGACTCTTGAATGCTGACAAAAACTGAGGACTGATGGATGTGGGGGGGAGGAGGGATGGGCATGGAGGAGGACACTTATGGGGATGAGCACTGAGTGTTATGTGGAAACTAATTTGACAATAAACTATTTGTAAAAAAAAAAAAAAAGAAAAAAAAATTTTAAAAAGAGGTGAAATAAAGGTAGTGTCAATATGCTTATTTTGTGGGCTCTGAGCCAAGTCTAATCTCATGGCTTCTTTTTCTCTCTCCAGCCCTGCCTTCTCTGGACACTCTGCACATCTCCAGGAAAAGAACTCAGAAAACCAGTCATCCCTGACAATTCTAAAAATCATGCCCCATGTGAGTTACTATTTCATTTTCTTTCTTTCTTTCTTTCTTTTTTTTTTTTTGTAATCTCTGAACCAAACATGAGGCTCGAACTCACAACCCTGAGATCGAGTTACAATGTTATTCTGACTGAGCCAGCAAGGAGCCCCTCATTTTTCCTTCTTGAAGTGATGTGTGATGTGAACATCAGATTTATTTATCCCCAAATTTTCTGCCTTGATTAGCTGCCTGAAGGAATCACTCCCAAATTTCTCCCATCCCAGTGGCTGACCCTAGCAAAGAGCTCCATTCTTTTCTAAATGCTTTTCCCCTCACCAGAGAGTGTTTAGGTATTTTTCCAGATCATTCTACATATTTTACATGCAAAGTTTTCTGCCAAAAGTCCTAAGGAAGCAGTATTAAAAGCAGTATTACTAATACTAATAGTCCCCTTAAGAGCAGTATTAGTATAATGGTTTGGTAAGGTAGTTACATGGGACACATGACAACTTGATCTTCTCTATAAATCTAGGTTTCCCACTTGGAAGTGACAGATTTCTGCTGAGTGTTCCAAGTCTCAGTGTGTGATAAGATTTTCTGCAAGGCTTCTAAGATTGGGTGGTAAACTGAGTCCTGAGAAGGAAGAGATCTTGCCTCTTGCATATTTTCCTGTTGATGCCATGACAAATTACTACAAACTCAGTAACTTAAAACAAACACAAGTTTATTATCTTATGCTTCTGGAAGTCAATGTCTGAAATTACTTTTACAGGCAAAAATGAAGGTGTTGGTAGGTCTGTGTTCTTCTGGAGGTTCTAGAGAAGAATCTATTTCCTTGCCTGTTTCCAGCTGCTAGAGGCTGCCCGCATTTCTCGGCTTATGGCTGCCTTCCATTTTCACAGCCAGCAGTCATCATTCTGACCTCTGCTTTCATTTTCACATCTTCTTCTCTGACTCTTCTGCCTGCCTCTATCACTTGAAATACTCTTATGATTACATTGGACCCAGCCAGATAGTCCATGATAATCTTCCCATCTAAAGATCCTCAATCACATCCACAAAGTCCCATTTGTCATATAAGGTTACATACTCACAGGTTCCGGAGATTCGGATGTGGACATCTTGGGGAGGGTGTTATTCTATGTACCTCAGCCCTCTTGCCCAAGAACCAATAAGATGATGATCAGTAGTCAGGTTTACCTCAGAGTTGGCCAGAATGTGTCAATGATACCCAAGGCACCTAGATTGGCATCCATCAGCTTGCTGTAGCCTAGGAATACAGGAAGTAGAAATAAAACCTACCAGATGACTACTCTCTTGAGGATTGCAGATTCTTAGAACCCAAGAGACATTAGAGAATTTAACTGAAATACTCCCAAATAAGCAGATCATTTCATACATAAAATGGAAATATCAATTATATTCGGTGACATAATATTGTGACTTGAAGAATTCGAATCTTCAAAACATTCTTTTTTAAAAAATATTTATTTATTTTGATAAAGAGAGAGTGTGCATGCACAAGTGGGGGAGGGACAGAGAGAGAGGGAGAGAGAATTCCAAGCAGACTCTGTGCTGTCACCCAACCCAGGGTTCGATCTCACGAACTGTGAGATCATGACCTGAGCTAAAATCAAGAGTCAGATACTTAACTGACTGACCTACCCAGGTGCCTCAATCTTTAAAAAATTCTTAAGTTATATCCAAATTCTATGTTTCAGCCTAAGGATTTGTTAAAAATCGTTTGGAAAGGTTTCATTACATTTGTGTATATTTTTCTTTGAGGGGAGAAGAAAAGGAAATAGCTCATATTTGTTGAGAATTTATTATTTTTTGAGAACTTGAAAAGCTTAATATGCTGTGTGATTGCAAATAATATTTCATTTAATTAGAGAACTGCATTCATCTGGGCTTCTGTATTCCTGGACTTTCCTGGATAATAGAATTGTCCTATTATATACTGGAAGTTTTGTCTTTAGTACCTTTGTTGACAGTGTAGTTCAGGCACCTAACTTCTTTTAATGTTACAAGGTGTTCATCCATGGCCTATTTATTGTGTCATCCCCTTCCTTCATGCCTCCCTCTTTTCTTTCCTCATTTTACCTCAAAGTCATTGCCATATTTTCACTAATAGTAAATGGATTTGTTGTTTCAGTGGTTGGTGACTTTCAGGGATGTGGCCATTGACTTCTCTCAGGAGGAGTGGGAATGCCTTAACTCCACTCAGAGGGACTTGTACAGGGATGTGATGTTGGAGAACTACAGCAACCTGATCTCATTGGGTAAGATCATCTTGTACAATACTCAGAATTTGTCTCCCATATTTTCTTCCCTTTTCCTCGCGATTTTCTGATTTCTGTTCCCTAAAGAAAGGTTTGAGTGTTTTGGAGATAGAAATGTAACCGAGCTCAAGGAGTTCACTGTGTGGGGTGCACCAAATTGCACACAACCCAGGGAAATGTTGAAAGCAAAGAACTTCGTATTACTTGCTACAGAGACAGGGAGATTGGTCTGAATGCACTGACTCCCTGTGGGATTATTACAGGAAATTTTTATGCAGTGTATCGGGGTGGAGGCAGGGAGCTCGTACAGGCACTTTTTGTTCAATTGCACCTGTCCATCATGTCAACATGCCAGTATGTACATCATATGTTCAAAAAATGGTGGAAAGCTCCACTCATAGGAGGAGATCTTATTTTTTTTTTACTTTTTTTTTATTTTTTAAAAATGTTCATTTATTTATTTTGAGAGGGAGAGAGAAGGAAGAGGGACAGCAAGAGAAGGAGAGAGAATCCCAAGCAGGCCGATTGCTCAGCATGGAGCCTGACATGGAGCTTGATCTCATGACTGCAAAATCATGACCTGAGCTGAAATCAAGAGTCAGATGCTTAACTGACTGAGCCACCCTGGTGCCCTGGAGGAGCTCTTATTATTATAAGGAGCTAGGGTAACTTCAGGTCAGCTCAGGGGGGCTTCTGTGCAGGTCCTTAGTTCTATTCTGGCTCAAACTGGCTCACATAAGGGGCTAATGGGCTAGACACACTTAGCAAGGGACTGTCAGGTGAAACACTTATTTAGGTGTCTCCTTGGCTGGAACTGTTGGGTCTGCAAAACAAGACACATTATTTTTCTCCTTTGCTTCTCCTCCTCCCTTCTGCTGATAGTCTTAAGCCCTCTTATTGGAATAACTTCCTCTTTCATCCTAGCTAACAAAAATAGCTCCAATGTGTACATTCCTTTTTTAAAAATAATTTTTAAAAATCTTTATTTTTGAGTGAGAAAGAGAGACAGAGTGTGAGTAGGGGGAGCGGCAGAGAGAGAGGGACACACAGAATCTAAAGCAGGCTCCAGGTTCTGAGCTATCCACACAGAGCCCAACGCGGGGCTCGAACTCATAAACCATAAGATCATGACCTAAGCCGAAGTCAGATGCTCAACAGACTGAGCCACCCAAGCACCTCTCCACTGTGTACCTTCTTATTTCTCATCCTTCAGACCTTCACATAAATCCTCTGTCACTTCCTTCAGTGTCTTTCTTTGATGACCAGTGGATTGGATTTGAATCTGGGACTCTTATACCATGACCATAACCATATCCATTTCTTTTCTTTTAAGCTGGATGTGTGATCCCTAAACCAGATGTGTTTTCTTTATTGGAGAAAGGGAAGGACCCCTGGATGGTGAAGAGAGCCATGACAAGAAGATGGAGCTCAGGTGAATAAAGAGCAAATCACATGGGAACAGCTATTGCTCATAATAATACAGCTGGTCTGTGAGGTGGCAGCACTTGGAGATGTTTACGTGAAGTTCTCTTCAAAGGCTTGTGGAAAGAAGTCTAAGGTCTTAGTAGGAAGGTGATATCAATATGAGCTCCCAAAGGAACTTCCCTTCCAACTTCCATTTACCATTCTTCCTCTCTCATATTACCCTTTCGTTTTAATGAGGAAGTTATCTTTGATTTCTTCTAGAGATAATCCTTTTATTTATTTATTTAATGTTTATTTATTTTTGAGAGAGACAGACAGAGTGTGAGCAGGGGAGGGGCAGAGAGACAGGAAGGTCAGTGTGGCTAGAACAAGGAGAGTGAAAATGGAAATTAGTGATGAAGTCAGAGAAATAGGCAGAGAACAGATCACATAAGGCCATGTAGGCCATTGCAAGGAATGTAATTATATTCTAAGTATGTTAAGAAGCTATTGGAGGGTTTTGTGCAGATGAGTAAGGGATCTTTGTTTACAGATCACTCTGGGTACTTCTGTAGAATGAGGTTAAGAATGAAAGCAGGAAGGCCAGTTAGAGGACTAGTTCAGGAGTCCACATTAGAGATGATAGTATCTTGGAATGGGGCCTAATATGTGAAGGTAATGAGAATGGGTTATATCTGATGGTACAATTAATAGAATTTGCTGAAGTATTAGAGATGGAAAGAGGCATCAGAGTTTGGAAGCCTGCAGAAGGAAGTCAAGAGTTATGCATTGGAGGCAGCCATTAGATATTCTTGACAGAGAACTTAGATACGTAGTTGAAAGCCTGCAGGATGGTAGTCAGGACTGAGGGATAGGTATGAGGTTAATCTCTGGATGATGGTGCAAGATGAGATTATGGAGGGAATTGATTTAGATAGAAGGCAAGGTAAAGTCCAGGGGCTACACCTTGGGCCATTCCAACATTTAGTTGAGAAGAGGAAAATGCTCCAGCAAAGGAAATGCACGGGTAACCTAAGTAACCTATGATGTAGGACATTGTGAGGAATGCATAATCCTTGGAACCAAGTGGAGAGAGTGGTTAACTATGATAGATGCTGCTACGAGTTCAACTAGGATGAAGGATGAGACCCGGCCACTGGATGTGGCAAGACAAAGAGTAGTGGTGACCCAGTCAGAGTAAGTTTGGAAATGAGAGAAATAAAAACCTGATTGTAGAGGATTAAACAGACAGTTGGGAAGAAATAAACCAACAATAAAAACTGTTGTGGGGCAATGACTTAACTCACCAGGCAATGTTGAGGGCCCATTTGGGAAATTCTCAAAAGCACAAATAGAGTTTTAAAATATATTAGAAGCTTTTTATAATGGTGTCCTAATAATTAGGACAAAGAAGTACAACTCAAGTTTGTATATGTGGAATTATATCACCTGCATAAAAGTGCAAGGAAAAAAATCCTGGAAGCAAACATGGCAAAAATGTCAGTTATGAGGGTGGGAGACAAAGGGGGAAAAACATTAATAGGAAATACAGACCTCTCTTTTGAGAAGTTTTACCAGGAAGGCGTACAGTAAATGGAGGGGAGCTACAGGGTGAACCCAGGATCAAAGGAGAAGTTGTTTTGTTTTGATTTTGAAGGAGAGTCTTTAAGGTGGAGATAAATATTGGAGAGATGGTACGAGAGTAAGTGATCTGGAAATATGGGTAGTTGTGGTCAAAAAGGATGGTTACTGGAATTGGGTTTGGGGAGGTATTGTCCTAACTGGAAATAACAAGGTCTGTTATGTCTACTGCAAGGGATGGTAGGTGGAGTGAGGTGGAGGAAAACGGTGCTTCTGGGAAGCAGTGTGCTCAAGGTTGCAATCAGAGCAAGAGGTGAAGAGAATACGCAGAGGGAGGGAAGCTGAGGTTGTAGAATATTTGCAGAAAGTATACTGTGAGTTCCTGGAGCCCTACTGATCAGAGAGCAATAGAACACTGAGTCACAATAAAAGATGTCTAGACCTGGAATGGGATGAGAGTCCTACTGATGAACAAGGATGCAGGAAGCCAGGGCTTTTCAGGAATACAGGGATACCCAGAGATGTCAAGCATTATAGAATTGATCTTGGAGTAGTTTCTTTGGGGAAGGTGAGTACTTATTCCTGTCATTAACTAAAGGTAGCGGGACTGTCACATTGAGAGTTTATGGAAGTCAAGACCTCCTAGGAGAAGCCAGCATTAAGAGCAGGATGTGGCAGTCTTACCAGCATCCAAAGCTATTGGGGCCTGCTAGTGGGTAGAGTAGCTGTCTTTTTTTAAAAATGTTTTTATTATTTATTTATTTATTTTGATAGAGAGCGAGAGAGCATGGAGAGATGGGGAAGGGGTGGAAGGGGCAGAGAGAGGGGGGAGAGAGAGAGAGAGTGAGAGAGAGAGAGAGAGAGAGAGTCCCAAGCAGGATCCATGCTCAGTGCAGAGCCCAGTTGGAGGCTCAGTTTCAGAGAGAGAGAAAGAGTGAGTCCCAAGCAGGATCCATGCTCAGTGCAGAGCCCAGTTGGAGGCTCAGTTTCACGACCATGAGACCATGACCTGTGGCTATCTTAGTATAAGAGAGAATAGCAGGTGTGGCATTGCTGGAGTCTGGGATTGGGGAGGGCTTTGGAGGAATAGCAAAGGTGTGTGAAAAGATGAACCCTGAAAGGATGTAAAGCAGTAGGGAGACAGAGTAGAGAGAAGAGCATTCCGGGCAGAGGGAATGGTGTCCTGAAGGCCATAGGAAGATGCAGCTTGGTGTTCAAAGAAGGCTTTTGTAATTAGAGCCTAGTGATGAAAGGGTGCCAGGTGTGAATTTGGAGAATCTGGCAGGGTCTAGGTCAGGCAGAAACTTCGGGATTATAAAAATGACCTGGTAGGTTGTGAACAGTATTTGTTTTTATTTTTTGGGTTTTTTTAAAAAATATTTATTTATTTTTGAGAGAGAGAGAGCACAAGCAGAAGAGGGCAGAGAGAGAGGGAGACACAATCCGAAGCAGGCTCAAGGCTCTGAGCTGTCAGCACAGAGCCCAATATGGGGCTCAAACTCACGAACCATGAGATCATGATGTGAACCAAAGTTGGATCCTCAACCAACTGAGCCACCTAGGTGCCCCAGTTTAGTTTTGTTTCTTAAATTAAATAACACAGAAGAGAAAATTTTTAAAAATATCAGAATGCATCACATGTAGCAGAGATAGATTATTTGATGACCTGTTCGTTTTGTTTATGTTTGTGGGTGTGTACTTGACCGTGATATAACATGTATTTCTTATCTTTCTTTGAATTTTGTCCCCAAAGCATTTGCAAGCTAATGAAGAATCTTAAGTAGGACAGTGACATAATGTGATTTACATATTTAATATATCACTTTTGACTGCCAGATGGAGATTAGAAGAAAGGAACTCAGGACATGACTGAGGGGATTATTGTTCTGCTTCACACGAGAGGTGCTCTGGGCTCTCTGAGTGTTGGTAATGACTTTGGGGATAAGGAAAACAGATTCAAGAGTGATCAGAAGATCAATTCAGCCAGAGTTGAGGGGGGCAAGAATGAAAGAGGCTTCCCAAAATGACTTCTGCTTTTCAGACTCCATTTTGTCATTTTCAGCCATCACCCCTTTTGTATTTTTTTTCTTCCATTAATTTAATGACAGTAAAAGGAACTATTTAGGGGCACCTGGGTGGCTCAGTTGGTTGAGTGTCCAACTTCAGCTCAGGTCATGATCTCTTGTGGTCAGTGAGTTCGGGTCCCATGTTGGGCTCTGAGCTGCAGAGCCTGGATTTTGCTTCAGATTCTGTGTCTCCCTCTCTCTCTGCCCCTCCCCAACTTGTGCTCTGTCTCTCTGTCAAAAATAAATAAACATCAAAAAATAAAAATAAAAAAAGAACTATTTAATCATGTTACTATAAGATGGAGAGCAGTTTGGGACCTAAACTGGATTTATTTGGTTCCTTATACTGTTCCTTTGATCACCATATCCCAATTGGGTTCTTTCCTAGTGTTTTGTAAATGATATTGTGCTTCTCTGACAAAAACAAAGTAAAAAGCCAGGTACTCTCATCCTAGTACATTTTGCTGACATGAGTTGATGATAAACTGAGTTGTGTGGGGTTTTTTGTTTTTGTTGTTATTTACAGTTCTTTCTGCTTTTCAACAAAAGTGTGTTTTCCTCGGATTTTTGACTCATTTCTAAAGACTGTTTAATCTTGACTTTACTGATTTATGTTTATTTCCTTTCTCAACACCATCCTCTATTACACTCTACAGCCTACGTGCATTGTTTTCAGAGACTGTGGCTGCTGTTCCAGTCACATTAGGTATTGTTCTTCTACATATAAGAATTATATGACAGATATAGAGAATCAGATAAATGAGAGAATAAGATAAATCATGGACCCAACTAGAGTTTTCAGGACTAGTCTTTCTGAGCAGTTGCCTTTTCAGTTAGGGCATTTCTGACAAAAAGGAACTGGCCATGCAGAGAGCATTCCTGGCAGATGGAACAGCATGTAAGAGTCTGAAATGGGAAAGGATTTTATATGTTCCAGGAACGTCAATAAAGCCAGTAAAGTTAGAGCATTGTTTCTTTTTTTTTTTTTTTTTTTACAAATAGTTTATTGTCAAATTAGTTTCCACATAACACTCAGTGCTCATCCCCACAAGTGCCCTCCTCCATGCCCATCAGTCCTCAGTTTTTGTCAGCATTCAAGAGTCTCTCATGGTTTGCCTCTCTCCCTTTCCCCCACCATTTCCGCCCTTCTTCTCCCCCTTGTTCCTCCGTCAAGTTCCTCCTAATCCTCCTATACGTGCAAACATATGATATTTGTCCTTCTCTGCCTGACTTATTTTGCTCAGCATAACACCCTCAAGGTCCATCCATGTTGCTACACATGGCCAGATTTCATTCTTTCTCATTGCCACGTAGTATTCCATAGTATAGATAAACCACATCTTCTTGATCCATTCATCTGTTGATGGACACTTAGTAGAGCATTGTTTCTGAAGATAGTAGTGGTTCAAAATGAGGTTAGAAAGGTAATCAAGGAATGAATCATGCAGAAGCTTTTAGGCTTTGAACAGGAATTTGGATTTTATTTGAAGTACAAAGGGGTAAGCCATTGAAAGGTTTTAAGTAGTATTCTCAATTTTTTTTATATCAGAAGCATCTGGGAAGATGATAAATGAAAGAAAATATGCATTTTTAAAGTTGCTGACAAATGCTGAGTGTTCAGTAATGGCTCTAGGTACTAGAAATAAAGCAGAGAATGAAACAAAGTCATTGTTTTGATTAAGCATGGGGAAGATAGACAAGGAACAAACTTTTAAAAAATAGTATATCCATTATTGATAAATGCAATATAGGTACAATTCTATATTGGATGTTTTGATAATGTGACATTTGAATGGAAAACTGAAGTGAAAGAGGGAAAAGAGCATTCTAAAATGTAAACACAGAGGTATACACTTGGTATTTTTGTACAGCAAGGAAGCCATTGTTGTGAGAATAAAATGAATAATTAGGAGTGGCAAGAGATGACATCAGATAAGTGGCCAAGGGCAAACTCATGTAGAGTCTGTGGCCCATAGTAAGGTCTTGTGAGCCATAAGTAAGAATTTAGGATATTATTCTAAGATGGTAAACTCTGAGAAGATTTTTACAGGGAAGTAAGGTGATATGAATTACATTTTAAAGGAATTCCTTTGGGTGCTGTGTGAAGAACAGATTGCGGGGACATTTACAGGTGGCCTGGCCTCGGGTGATAGTAGTGGATGTGGTCAGATAGTTGATAAATTTAAAAAAAACTTGTTTAATGTTTATTTTTGAGAGAGAGAAAGGAACAGAACATGAGTGAGGGAGGAGCAGAAAGAGAGGGAGACAGAGAATCTGAAGCAGGACCCAGGCCTTGAGCTGTCAGCCCTGAGCCTGATGTGGGGCTCAAACCCAGGTGAGATCATGATCCGAGCCGACACCGGACACTAAACCAACAGAGCCACCCACGTGCCCCTCAATAAACTTTATTGGAGAGGCAGTAGGACTTGTTGGTAGATTAGATATTTAACTAGACATTTGATTAAATGTTTATAGGGGAATGTTTTTGTTGTTATAAGCTTCTTTGATTGGATTCTGATCCACTCCAAAGTTTGAGAACCATGCACTTAAACTGTTTTCCTAATTACTTTGCTCCCTATAAACTCCCCTCATTCTATGTGTTCTCCTTGTGTCTTTTAATTGCACAAAATATTTCAGCACTGTATAAGTCATTCTGTTCTTATCAGAATTTTTATTTTACCTATCATTTTTATTTTAGAAGTTTCATTTCCCCTTGTTAAAAAAAAAAAAAAAGGCAGGAATTTGCTTTCTTGTTATCTTACAGACTTGGAACCCAGTTGGGAGACTAAAAAGTCATCTCCAGAAAAGGGAGCTTATGAAATGGAATCACTGCAGTGGGAGAATATGAGGAAATCTATCAGCCATAACTTTGATTACAATGGTCTTACAGATAATATGGAGGGCAAAGGTAAATTTGAGGATCAGCAGAGAGGTCAGGAAGCACTTTACATGCACATGAAAATTACCTGTGGAGAAAAGGCTACCCAGAGCCATTCTGTGTCACCTACTCTTCATCATATAAATCTTGCCAAGGAAAAATTGTACAAATGTAAGGAATGTAAACGAGCTTTCAGCTACCTGTCATGCCTTACTCAACATGAGAAAAGCCATAATAAAGAAAAACACTCTGAAGTTAAGAAACGTAGGAAGATCTTCAGCAAAAAGCCAACCTATATGCAACATCAGAAGATTCAGAATGGTGAAAAGCCTTATGAGTGTATGGAATGTGGGAAGGCCTTTGGTCGTAGTTCTGATCTGATTCAACATCAGAAAATTCATACTAATGAAAAACCTTATCAGTGTAAGGCATGTGGGAAAGCTTTTATTCGTGGTTCACAGCTCACTGAACATCAGAGAGTTCATACAAGAGAGAAACCATATGAATGTAAGAAATGTGGAAAAGCCTTTAGTTATTGTTCACAATATACTCTCCATCAGAGAATTCATAGTGGTGAAAAACCCTATGAATGCAAGGAATGTGGAAAGTCCTTTATTCTTGGCTCTCAACTTACTTACCATCAGAGAATTCATAGTGGTGAGAAACCTTATGAGTGTAAGGAATGTGGAAAGGCCTTCATTCTTGGTTCACACCTTACTTATCATCAAAGGGTTCATACTGGTGAAAAGCCTTACAGATGTAAAGAATGTGGGAAGTCCTTTTTATGTGCCTCCCAACTTAATGAACATCAGAGAATCCATACAGGTGAGAAACCCTATGAATGTAAAGAATGTGGGAAGGCCTTTTTTCGTGGCTCACAACTTACTTACCATCTGAGAGTTCATACAGGTGAAAGACCCTATAAATGCAAAGAATGTGGAAAAGCTTTTATTTCTAATTCTAATCTTACTCAACATCAAAGAATTCATACAGGTGAAAAACCATACAAATGTAAAGAATGTGAGAAGGCCTTTATTTGTGGAAAACAGCTTAGTGAACATCAAAGAATTCATACAGGTGAGAAACCCTTTGAATGTAAGGAGTGTGGAAAGGCTTTTATTCGTGGTGCATATCTTACTCAACATGAGAAAATTCATGGTGAGAAGCATTATGAATGTAAGGAATGTGGGAAAACCTTTTTTCGTGTCACACAACTTACATATCACCAGAGAATTCATACAGGTGAGAAACCCTACAAATGTAAGGAATGTGACAAGGCATTTATTTATGGCTCACAACTTAGTGAGCACCAGAGAATTCATAGAGGTGAAAAACCCTATGAATGTAAGCAGTGTGGGAAGGCCTTTATTCGTGGCTCACATCTTACTGAACATCTAAGAACTCATTCTGGTGAGAAACCCTATGAATGTAAGGAATGTGGGAAGGCCTTTAGTCGTGGCTCAGAACTTACTCTACATCAAAGGATCCATACTGGTGAGAAACCTTATGCCTGTGTCCATTGTGGTAAAGACTTTAGACGTCATTCACAACTTACTCAACATATGAGGCTTCATAATTGAAAAAGCTTTGAATATGATTTAATATAAAAAAGGCTTCAACTGTATTCAACACCTCTAGAACATCAGAGAACTGATATTCATCATATTATGTTCGTAATGAATTAGAACATCCTTTTGCTTGTGCTCATAGCCAACTCATTTTTAGAAAGCCTATATTAATGAATGCAGAAATAACTTCTGGAACACATTAAACATTTATTTTCATTTTCATTTTTATTTTTTTATTTTAAAAGTAGGCTTCATGTCCAGCACAGAGTCCAACATGGAGTTTGAACTCACCATATAGCTCTTTCTGTTTCTTGTTTTGGTTTGGTCTGGTCTATCTTTTGTTGAACACCAGGTAATTTATTCTGTGACAGAAGCTTTAGAATATAATATAGGCAGGAGAGCCTCCATTTTAGAACTCATAAATTTTGCTGCACCAGTAATTCATACTGCAAACAAACTATGGAAGAAATTCCTTTAGAGTTGTAGAGGTTTTTTTTTTTATAAAATCAAGCAGAGGTCATTTTTCTACAGCAAATTCCAAAAGCAGAAGTCATTTTACTACATTTTCAAATTATTACTGTCTTAAATGAGAAGTCAAAACAAAGTTTACCAACTACAGTTTTTTCTCATTATCTGTATCTGATAATATGTTGAACAGTAAACTTTCAGATGCCCACATTTCAGAGCCTACTTCCATTATTTTAAGTGGGAAAAATGATAATATGTTTCCAGCTCTTTCAAATGTCCTGAGCAGTTTTCCCAAATGTATTTTAAATTCACCTTAAACCATCTACTTGATTTCTCTCAAAGACTTCAGAATAATATAAAATATTTAAAGTCCAGTAAACAAGTAACTAGCAGATATGTTTCTGTATGTAATGATAAAAAAAATTTTTTTTTAGTGTTTTATTTATTTTTGAGAGAGAGATAGAGACAGCAGGAGCAGGAGTGTGTGTGTGGAGGGGGGGTGGTCAGAGAGAGAGGGAGACACAGAATCCGAAGACAGGCTCCAGGATCTGAGCTAGCTGTCAGCACAGAGCCCGACACAGGGCTTGAACCCACAAACCGTGAGGTCATGATCTGAGCTGAAGTCTGACATCTAACCAACGGAGCCACTCAGGCGCCCCCTTTAAAAATTTTTAATGTGTATTTCTTTTAGAGAGAGAGAAGCAGAGCATGAGCAGGGAAGAGGCAGACAGAGAGGGAGACACAGAATCTGAAGCAGGCTCCAGGCTCTGAGCTGTCAGCACAAGAGTCCAATGCAGGGTTCAAACCCATGAAGTGTGAAATCATGACTTGAGCTGGAGTTGGACGCTTAACTGACCAAGCCACCCAGGCACCCCTGTGCATGTAATGATTTTGAACATTATAAAGTATGAATTATCTTTTTGTTCTACACTTCAAGAAACAGATATTATGATATAAATAAGTTTGTTAGGATATAATGGACACAAATAACAATTGGTAAAATGATAGTAATAAAAGTAAAATAAAAATCATTGATAGAATAATTAAAACAGAGGTTCTCAAAATAATACTTAATTTTGTACATGTGATGCACTCTGCTGTTTTCTATTACACGGTCTGTAATAAACACTACAGCCCTCTCCGTTGTCTTTCACAGCTTAATACTGTTCATTATCCCCTTTCTGAAAAACACTTTTTTTTTTAAATTTTTAAATGTTTTTTATTTATTTCTGAGAAAGAGAGAGAAACAGCATGAACAGGGGAGGGTCAGAGAAAGAGGGAGACACAGAATCTGAAACAGGCTCCAGGCTCTGAGCTAGCTGTCAGCAGAGCCCGATGCGGGGCTTGAACCCACGAACCGTGAGATCATGACCTGAGCCGAAGTCGGACGCTGAACCGACTGAGCCACCCAGGCGCCCCTGAAAAACACTTGTTTAACATTTATACTACAAAATTATAATTTTTAAAAATCCAATCCATTTTTAAAAGTGCAAAAAAAAAAAACAACAAACAAAACCTGAGAGCATTAAAACTCTACTGAATCATTAGAGTAATCGCTGTGATGCTAATGCAATCATGCATTCCCTGCTGACATTGGACAAACTGACATTATCAAACTAAATTTAAAGAAAATGTGAATAATGAAATGCAAGTAAAATATTTGCTGCATTGATCACAAGTCATTAACATATATTTGTCATATAACATATTTGGATATTAGCAGAAAATACACTGAACCAGACTCTCCAAAATATGTTCAAGAGGTAATAATCTCCAAAATACCATTGGAGAAGACTCTGTCTCATTGCATATTTTGTTGGCACATAACCAAATTCCCTTACTGGCCAATGAATTACAGTTTGAACAAGCCAAAATAAAAGGTAGAGAGAAGACCTGCAATAAAGAAAATATTACCATTGTTCAACACACTGTTTCCCAGTCCTGACCATAAATTCTTGCCCCTCCATAATATTTACTATATTCAGATTATTAACACACTTTGAGAAATCCATTGCTGACCAAAAAGAATAGTTACAAGAGAAAATTTAAGGCATGGAAATTAATTAAATTTGGTGGGTGGTGCAGTATTTGGGAGTTCTAAAATTAATCAGTACACTATACACGGAGAGTTCCTCTAGTTCAAGTTTTCACAAACTTGTCCCTATTCTCTCATCATCTAGATCGATTTAGTTAGATTTTTATTCTTGATGTTGTTGTTACAAGATTGTTTAGGGGTGCCTGGGTGGCTCAGTCAGTTAAGCATCAGACTCTTGGCCTTGGCTCAGGTCATGATCTCACAGTTTCGTGAATTTGAGCCCAAAGTTCCACACGAGGAGCCTGCTTGGGATTCTCTGTCTCCCTCTCTCTCTGCCCCTCCCACACTTGTGCTGTCTCTCTCTCAAAATAAAAAGTTTAAAAAAAGATTGTTTAATGTGAAACTTGAATGAGTATTAATTATCTCAGTACTTTATGTTTATTTCATAAATCATTTTGAAACTAAGAGCATCCCTATTGAGGTAATGGTGAGGGGATAGGAATGTACACTAATCAAAGAATTCATAAAGACTAAAAAGCTGTGGTTGTTATACTGCTTTAGTTGGTACTTGAAGGTATATTGATACCATCACACTTGTTCAAATTAAGGTTTATTTCCCCTACATGCATACAATTCTTTTCAAGAGTCACCACATTCCTCTTACAAAGTTACATAACAAAGTTTACCCCAGAGATGTAGTGCAAGTTAAAAAGAATCACATTCACTATCTCTCATCCATCTACTGTTAAAACTTTGGTTTTTATCTTGTGATGTTTCCTTCTGTTCTCAAATATGGTCTGTATTTGAATCTAACAAAAGTATATTTTAATGGGATAGCTACCCACTTCATCTGTAACTTGTTTTATTTTAACTTTCTAGTGTAGCACATACCAAACAACAAAAATAGAATAGTAAAATGAACCAACATATACCCATCACATGTTTTTATTTTTATTTTTCAATTCAAATATAGATAACCTACATCATCACATATTTTTTAATGTTTATTTACTTATTTTGAGAGAGAGAATGAGCGAGTAGGGAGGTGCAGAGGGAGAGAGAGACAGACAGACAGAATCCCAAGTAGGCTCCACACTCAGCAATGGAGTCCAACACGGGGCTCATTCTCTGACTGTGAGATCATGACCTGAGCCGAAGTCAAACACTTAACCAACCGAGCCACCCAGGTGCCCCTCGTTAAGAATTTTTTAAATCCACAAAATAATGAGGACAGATACAGAGGATACAGAATCGAACATCTAGAAAAGAAAAATATCTGAGAAGAAAATTTTATTGGAGATTAAATACAGAGGAAGGAAAAATTCAGTAAATTTGAAAATATGCTTGGAAAAATGAAGCACAGAGAGAAAAAATACTGAAAGAAAAGGGCCTCAGTGACCTGTGGACAAACTAAAGCAGGTTCTGTGTAAATGAAATTATGAGCAAGATGGTAGAGTTGGATGTCCTGGGCCCTCTTTCCTCCAACAAACACAATGATATAGCAATTCATGGAAAAACTTCCTTTGTGAGAAATACAAAAACTGAGTAAAGGTTTCTGAACCCAGGAAGAATGCAAAGGCAAACTCATCAAAACCCACGGGGAGATATGGGACACCATTCCACCAGAATCCAGGCACATGGTGCGACATCGGTGCAACATCATATGATCAGTGAGAGGCTCCTGGCTACCAGCTTCACCTAGGGGAGGGAAGGGGACATTTTATACATTCTATACCTCACATTTCGTGAAGGAGCTCCCAGAACACTGACTTAGGTCTTGCCGGTTATGGAGTTCTGACAGGTCCAGTAAAATCTAGCCACTGCGTAGATAATAGAGATGGTGGGTTGGGCTGGTGGATACCATTAATCCTTACCTCTATTTAACACAAAGCAAGCAGATGAAAAATCTCAACCCTCAGCTTCCTCGTGGGGAAGAAAAGAGTTGATCTGCGTGTCCAGCCCTCCAGTGTTGCTGGGGCCATCTAATGACCTGGTATTTGACTTAGTCTTAGAGCTCTGAGAGGTCTGGCATAGTCTACCCACCTTTGGGGGAACAGAAACAATGGTTTCAACTGATAGATGCCACAACCCCCCATTCCCAGCTCAGCACAGAGTGGGTGGGCAAAAATAACAAACTGCCTGCTTCTTCCTGGGGGTGAGAAAGAGTAATACAGGGCCCCAGGTAAAGGTGGAGATTGGCAGAGAATTTAAAAATATTCAACAATATACTGGATACAAGAGATACATTTTAGATTCAAACATCAAATTTCAAAACAAAAGGACAGAAAAAGATATACCATGCAAACAGCAACCATAACAGAACTGGAATAGCTACACTATCAGATCAAAGAGACATTGAGACAAAATTACCAGAGACAAAGAGGTACACTTTATCATCAAAAAAAGGGCTAATCCATCAAGAAGACATAACAACCATAAGCATATATGCACCTAAAACCAACATCCCAAGTGTCCATCACCAGATGAATGAAGAAACGAAATCAACTGTCTTAAATATGTTGAAAAAGCTGCAGGAAGTTGTGGAGCTTAAAAGTATAATAACTGAAATGAAAAATGTACTAAACACTTACCAGGTTGCCTATTTTATATATATTTTTAAGTGTTTTTATTTTTGGGGGCGCCTGGGTGGCTCAGTCAGTTAAGTGTCTGACTTTGGCTCAGGTCATGATCTCATGGTTCATGGGTTCGAGCCCTGCATCAGGCTCTGTGCTGATTGCTCAGATCTATCAAA